TGGCTAACCCAGTATGTTTTCAAGTGGGTGTGGACATTGTCCAGAATAGACCATGTTAGGCCACAATTTAAGTCTAAATAAATTTAAAAGATAGATACTGTACAAAGTATTTTCTCTAGTGACATCAAGATGAAGTTAGAAATCAAGAGGAAAATTGGAAAGACATGATTTGTGGATATTAACACACTCTTAAAGAACCAATCGGCCAAAGAAGAAACCACAAGGGAAATTTAAAACTACTTACAGGCAAATAAAATGAAAACACAACATAATAAAATTTATGGGACACGAGCAAAGCAGTGCTAAAGGGTGGGAGAGATTTATAGCAAATATTAGAGAAGATCTTAAATCAACAACCTAACACACTAAACCCAAATGTAGTAGAAGGAAAGACTAAATACTAGAACAGACAGAGCATAAGCTAGATTGACAATGGAAAAAAAGGAAGGCTTATAGTACTAAAATCAGAAATGAAAGTGGGATGTTGCTACTGATTATACGGGAAAAAAAGGGAAAAAAAAGGAAAGTAGTTCTGTGAACACTTGTACACCAACAGATTGGATTGCCTGGATGAAACTGACAAATTTCTAGACACAGAAACTGTCTAAACTGATTTCATCAAGTTTGGCACTGGTAACCTGTGTATGGTGACTGGAGGTGTTAAGCTGGAAAGAATTGGCATAATAACCAACAGAGAGAGAGATACACCCTGTTTTTCTTGATGTAGTTTGTGTAAAAGAAGTCAGTGGTGCCCTGGCTGCTGTGGCTCAGTTGGTTGGAGTGTTGTCCTGAGGACCCAAGGATTGCAGGTTCAATTCCCAGTCAGGGATCATGCTTAGGTTGCAAGTTCAGTCTCCAGTTGGGGGATGTGTGAGAGGCATGTGATTGTTGTTTCTCTCTCACATTGAAGTTTCTTTCCCTCTCTCCCTCCTTTCCCTTCTCTAACTGTGTCCTCAAGTGAGGATTTAAAAAAAGAAAAAAAACATGCCAATGGCAACAGCTTTGCCACCCAGCTCTCCAACATTTGTTATTGGCAAAGGTAACAAACCATGGATTTACCTTCCCTGTGGAAAGGGTATCTGCTTCATCATTGCTAAAGAGAGAGACAAGAAACTGGTGGCCAAAGAGAGCAGTGGGCAAGATGAGCTCTAGATAACATGATTGGAAAAGCCTTTTTACTGAAAGATAATTCAGCATGGAAAAAAAGTGATTTGGTATGAAATAGAAAACCATACTTATAAGGAGATTGAATCAGTTATGAAAACCCTCCTGCCAAAGAAAAGCCTTGGACCTGATGGCTTTAGTGGTAAATTCTGACAAAATATTTAAAGAACTAACACCATTCCTTAAATTCTTTCCAAAAATAGAAGAGGGGAGACATGTAACTCATTCTATGAGGCCAGCACTGTTCTGATACCAAAACCAGACAAACACTCCAAAAAAGAAAACTACAAAGAAGTATCCCTTCAGAACAACACCATAATCTTGAAAAAAATACCAGCAAATCAGATTCAGTAGCATATTAAAAGGATTTTTACCACTACCAAGAGGACTTTATTTCAAGAATGCTAGGACGGTTCCACATTCAAAAAGTGATCAGTATAATACACCACATTAACAGAATGAAGGGAAAAGACCACATGACTGTTTCCTTTGGTGCAGCAAAAGCCTTTGACAAAACTCAACACCCTTTCATGGTAAAAACTTTCAACATTAGGAATGGAAGGAAATGACCTCAACATAATAAAAGCCATAACTTGCAGTAAACATTATACTTAATGATGAAAGACTGATGACTTTTCCCCTTAAAATCAGGAACAAGGCAAGGATGCCCACATTCACCACTTCTATTCAACATAATACTGGAAGTTCTAGCCAGACCACTTCTGCAAGAAAAAGAAGTAAAGGACATCCAGTTTGGAAAGGAAGGAGTAAAATTGTTTCTCTTGCAGATTATATGATCTTATATGTATTGTAGAGAATGTGAAAGATTTCGTACCATAAAAACAGTGAAAACTTACTAGTGCTAATACAGGGTCCAGCAGAAGTAAGGCCTGCTTGAGTGTGGTTGGTAGGGTAATATGGGTGTAATAATTTATAGTTTTAATTTGAACATTTCACATACATTGTCGTGGTGTGCTTGAGTGTGATGCTGTTATGTTACAGAATTACATGCTCATGATTTTGTAATAAAAGATTTTGTAATAAAAAGGGGCATTTTTGTCATACTGTATTTTGACAAAATTGCAAGATAGAAAATGAACACACAAAAAACCAGTTATATTTATATATAGTAACGAACAATCCAAATAGGAAATTAAGAAAACAGTTCCTTTTACAGTAGTACTAAAAAGAATAAAATACTTAGGAATAAATTTAACTTGGTAAGTGAAAGACTAAAACATTGCTGAAAGAACTTAAGTGGAAAGACATCAGGTGTTCATATATTATTTTTAGGATGGCATTAGTACCCAAAGCCACCCACAGATGCAGTGCAATCCGTAATCAAAATCCCAATTACTTTTTTTTTTGCATAAAGAGAAAAACTTGTCCTAAAATCATGGGACCCTGTGTAGTCAGAACAATCTTGAAATCTCAAAACAGTTGGCAGTCTTCCACTTCCTGAATTTAAAACTTGGTACGATAGCTACAGTAATCAAAATAATGTGGTATTTGCATAAAGAGTGGATGTGTAGACCAGTGGAATAGAATATAGAACCCCAAAACTAATCTTCATATACATGGTAAATAGAATTTTGCTAAAAGTGCCAAGTCTATTCAGTGGTGAAAGGATGTAGTGTCTTCAGCAAATGCTAATGGTGCTGGGAAAACATCACCTGCAAAAGAATGAGTTGGACCCTTACCTATCACCATATATTAAAAAATAATTTAATCAAAGACCTAAAATTTTGATACTCTAGAAAACTCTTAGAAGAAAACGCAGGGGAAATTCTTGACAGTGGATTTGACGGTGATTTTTGTGGGTAGGACACCAAAGGCACAGACAGTGACAGAAAAAATAGGTAAATTGTAGTACATCAAAATCAAAGCCTTAGTGATTCAAAGGACACTATCAAGGAGAGTAAAAAGAGACCCACATAATGGAAGAAAATACTTGATAAGAATAATATTTAGAATTTTTAAAGAACTCCAGCTCAACAACAATTAACAAGGAACCCTATTAAAAATGGGCACAGGACTGGAATAGGCATTTCTTTATTATTTTTATTTTTTAGAGAGAGGGGAAGTGAGGAAGAAAGAGGAAGGGAAACATCGATGTGAGAAACATCTATTGGCTGCCTCTCATATGCACCTTGACCAGGGACCAAACCCAGACTGAACCCACAACCTTAGGCATGTGCCCCAACTGGGAATCAAACCAGTGATCCATTGCTCTGTAGGTTCAGCACCCAACCAACTGAGCCACACTGGTCAGGGCTGAAGAGATATTTCTCCAAAGAAGATGTACAGTGGCTAATCCACACATGAAAAATGCACAACACTACTAGTTATCAGGAAAATACAAGTCAACAAATGAGATACCACTTCACACTGATTGTGATGACTAGTAAGAAAATGCAGAAAAACAAATGTTGGCAAGGATGTGAAAAAACTGGAACTGTTTTGTATAGCTGGTGGACATGTAAAATGGTGCTGGTGCTATAGAAAGCCATTTGGTTGTTCCTTGAAAAGTTACATAATTATCATATGTCCTGGCAAGTTCATTTTCATGTACCCAAAGCTTTGAAAACACGATATCAAACTGATAGTCCTGCACTATTGTTCAGAGCAGAGTTATTCACAACAGTCAAAAAGTAGAGACAACCCACATGTCTAACAGGTAAATGGATTAGCAAAATAGTGTATACATACAATAATAATATTCATCACATGAAAGAATGAAGTTCTGTGTGCTGCAATGTGGATGAACACAAATATTGTATGATCCCACTTACATGAGCTATTTCGAAGCGGTAAGTTCATGTGGACAGCAACTAGGATAGATATTACCACGGGTTTGGGGAACAGGAAATAGGGAATTACTGTTTTAATCTGTATAGAGTTTGTTTGCCATGATGTAAAAGCTCTGGAAATAGATAATGGTGAAGGTTGCACCACTGTGTGATGTTCTTACAAATGAGGGTGGTAAGATCAGTAGCTTTTTTTTTTTCTTCAGACAAACCCTTCCTCTCAAATAAAAGCCACACTGCTTTCTGACAGATCTCTGACCTTGAATGTGATTTCATAGTTATGTTGAGGTTGATAAACAGCAAATGGGGAACTGAGAACCTCTATTCTAAAGCAACTGTCTAAACCAAAGAGGAATAAAACTGTCAACTATGCAACACCACCTGTTAGTGTGTTCAACTATGCAGTGTGGTATGGTGGGAAAGCACAGGAACCTAAGCTAGCATTTATGGAATGTTTGTCCCTTTTCCTTTTTCTGGTGGTAGTGCAAGTCCATTGTCAGTTACTATGTAGCAGTGATACCCTTAAATCTTATTATCTGAAGCAGGCTGTGCTTGGTGATTTTGTGACACAGGTGGATGCTTATTTAGCCAAAATCTTGCAAGCAGAGTTTGAGTCCCTTTAAACCTACTCTTTAATAATGCAACCTATTTCATTTTGATACTGAAAAGTGATTTCAAACTTTTGACATTCTGTTCTGTCACTGTTTCCTCAGCCTAAAGAGCTAGACATAGGCTTGAGCATTACACTTCCCCATATTACCTGAAACTTCAAGTGGGTGAAGATTGTTGGGTGTTCATATCTACCCTGGTGTGATGGTTAATTGTATGTGACACCTTAACTAGCCTGGGATGTCAGATATTTGCCTAAAGTCTTATTCTGGGGATATTTGTGAGGGTGTTTGTAGGCAAGATAATGATTTGAATCTAGATTGAGCAAAGCAGAGTGCCCTCATCCAAATCATTGGAAACCTGAATACAACAAAAGGCAAGAAAGAATTCACTCTTATCTGAAGGTTTTCTGCTTTTCAGACTCAAACTGGATCTTACTTCATCAGCTCTCCTGCTTCTCAGGTCTTTAGACTACAGATCTTGGGACTTCAGCCTCTGTAATCATGTGAGCAAGTTCCTTATTATAAATCTCATGTATATGTTTTATATACTTATACATTGTTTTATATATGTATATATAATCTCACATATATGAAGTTTATTTTTAACAACAGATTTTAAATCTCACTTGAAGGTAACTGGCAAAACATGGGCTTTTATATGGTGTCAACAGATCCATTAGGTTGTCCCTCTGTTGGAATGGTTTTGTTGCTTCTCTTTCTCTGGAGAACCCTGACCGATACCCCTGGCATTAACAGAATCTTACCCATCTATGTTTGTTTGTGTAAGTACAGTCTATGATGTTCACACAATGATGGAGTCACCTAACAATGCATTTCTCAGAAAGTATCTCCCTTGTTAAGCAGTGCATGACTTGTATATTAAGATAGTCACTGCTGTATTATTGCTCTTCCTAAGTGCTGTGATTAGCAAGTCACCTGTGGGGTGATATTTTGATGCCATGTGGATCTATATCTTTAGTTCCCTACCTTTCACCTTTCACCTATTGTATGAGCATCATTGATGATCTTTACCTGAACGTTTTGTTTTTATTAAGGGTTGCAAAATGACTTTTTTTCATATGTCCATTCCTTTTACATGCCTCTGGCATTCATCTGTTAAAAAGTTCTTCCTTGTAGTACAATTCCTATTAAAAAGGCATCCTACATTATTTTCTCTAATTACAGATTTTTCTGAGTGAGGAATTGTATGAGATACTCATCTTTATTAAAATAATCTTACTTGTTAGGATTTATACATTGTAACATTTTTAGTAGCTGTTTATAAAATCATGGAGCCAGAAAGCAATTATGTAGTATACTTAGTTCAGTCTTATACTTGCAGTCCTGATGGATGACCTATATCATCTGCTTCCCATGAGAGTATTTACCCAGTGCTTCTTGTGAATCCTATTTTGTTGAGCAACTGATAGTTATACTGTTTTATTGATTCAAAACTTGTTTATTAAACAAGTGGTTCAGATTCTGTCCTCTAATGCAATTTGGCAAACATTAATTTATTACATACTGAGGCTGCCGTGCTTGAGGTTCTGTATTCAGTGGAGCACATTAGAGTTAATGTTAATTTTTTGCACTTGTGTATGCGTATAGGTAGAGAGGCCAGCTGAAGACATTTCATTTCAGGGGGTGTTATTTGAGATAGGGTTAGGGAGGATAGGTGGCTAAGAGTGAGAAGCAGGGATGGTGAGGAGGGAAAGGAAGGTTATTCCAGTTAAAAATAGTGTCACTGGCAGTCAGAGGTAGAAAAATGACTGGAAAGGGACTGAATTTGGCAAAATGAGAAAGTTGTGGCTGGAGGAGCTGTTCATTACAGATGTGCAATGAAACATGGTATGTGGTCAAAGCTGTCAGTGCACTACTCATCTTTCGCATTGGTTATAGCCATTATAACCAGAAGAGTGGGTTCTTCTTTTCTGTTGATTTACACCTGGGTCTGACTTGCCTGAGACCATCCACCTCTTGTTGCCTCCTAATGCCCAGTGCCTGGCACCACTTAACCACGCTGCATGTTGGCATTCAAAGAATTTCATTGAGAAACTGAGTGGTTCTAGCCCCTACTATGGATTGATTTTTTTCCCTTCAGTCAGGTGTTTTTCTTTAGTCTCATCAGGAGTTGCTAGGTTTGAGTCACAGAGCACAAAAGGGACGGGGTGCTCCTTCGAGGAGCTGGGGGCAGAGAGAGTGTGGAGAGGCTGGTTAAGGTAGAAGGGGAAGGTGAATATGGTGAGCAAATAGATAGACCTCTGCTGTGGTAGCTTTAAAAGGAGAGCTGGGGTCACACTCTTGAACTGGCTGGAAGAGTTAACCCACGGAGCTCAGACTTTGGTAGCTAATACTATGTATAGCAAAGCAAGCCAGAGTAGAGTGGCAGGAGCCGGGGGATAAGGAATACAGAGTCAGGAAATAATGAGGGTTCAAAATAGGGTAGTGCAAATGGTAAAGAAAGATCTGAGGACGATAGTATGGATGGGTCTAAATCAGATGTGATGGTTGGAGTTAAAAGAACGTAGGAAATAGTTTTGAGTCTGAGAACAGTAGGGAATGTGTCTCTTAAGAAGGACAGATTCAGGTTTCTCTATGTAATATGAAAACATGACAGATATGTGTGTAGCAGATAATGAAAAAAAAGCCTTTAATGTTTCTTTTGCTTATAAGCCAAAATAAATGTGCTATCTTAACCCTAAAAAGAAAAAGAAGGAGAAGGAGAGAGAAGAAAAGAAAAGCCTCAAGTGGAATCCACATTTGGTATGCTGAACTAAAGCAACGCAAGCTCTGTTTCTTTAATGTTATCTTCTTATATATCTGCAAACCCTCTGACTACCTTTAAAAAAAAAAAAAGAACAGCTTAAATGAGATATAATTGCTGTACAATAAACCATACATGTTTATACTATACGTTTTGAGTTTTGATACATGAGGTCTGGCTGGAAAAAGTCCACCTATTGTTAATATGGCAAGAACGGTTTGCGTGACATCCATGTAACCTGGGAGTCGAAAGTGGACTGGAATATGCATGTGTGAACAGTAATTTCACTGTACTAGTCAGTGGGGGGCGGTAGATGCCATTGAGTGAACATGTGTACTATGTGGCCATCACATTCAAAATGACTGAGTGAGTAGAGCAATGAATCTGCATCAGATATTTCATTCAGCTTGACCATTCCTCCCCAGAAACTATTCAGAATGCTGCAGCTATGGGCAACTGGTGATTGGCAGCTTCATTATGACAACGCACTTGCCCATGCATCATGTCTCTTGCAGTTTTTTTTTGGAAAATCATCCAGGTGACTCAGCCTACCTTCAGCCCAGATTTGGCACCCTGCACCTTCTGGCTTTTCCTAAAACCAAAATCACCTTTGAAAGGGAAGATACTTCAGACCATCAGTGAGATTCAGGAAATACAACAGGGCAGCTGATGGCAATTGGGAGAACTGTGTAAGGTCCTAAGCTGCCAACTTTGAGGGGGACTGAGGTGTCATTTTCCTGTGTACAATGCCTCTTGTATTTTATTCAATAAATGTCTCTATTTTTCATATTACATGGCTGGATACCTTCTGGACAGACCTCGTATGTATGTATCTGTGAAATCATTGCCACAATCAAGATAATACACAAATTCATTACCCTCCAAGTCTCCTAATACCCCTTTGTAATTCCATCCTCCTGCTTACTGCTCCTTCCTTACCCATCCCCAGGCAACCACTGACCTGCTTTCTAGTTTACATTTTCTGGTATTTTATATAAATGGAGTGTGTGTATGTATGAGAGGGGACCCAAAAAAACTCAGAATTTATTTCTTACATGCTTAAACTTCAGTCACCTTCAAAGTACTCTGATCCCAAGCCCTTTGGTTGGTCTGTTATCCTAAAGTTCCTCTCAAATCTGAGTAAGAAATAGATATGAGCCCCTTTTGGGAATGGGTATTGGGAACACCCCTGAAGGCCATAGCATTCTGACCAGCCTCTGTGTGACCAGCTCTAGACTATTTGGAATCTTGTCAGACTGAACCTTCTGAAGATGGACCAAACATGCTAAAACTGCTCCAATTTTCAGTCCCACCAACAGTGCGCAAGGATTCTTTAAAGATAACAGACACTAATTTGGAAAGCTAGGCAGCTCTATGTTCATTGCAGTATTATTTACAGTAGCCCACATATGAAAACAACCTAGTTGTCCATCGATAGACAAATGGATTAAGATGTGGGGTATGTGTATGTGTTTGTGTATATACATATGTACAATGGAATGTTGTGCAGTGAATGAAATCTTGCCATTTGTGACAGCATGGGTGGACTTGGCTCATCCATGCAAAGTGAAATAAATCAGAGGACAGATACTGTCTGGTTTTCACTTACAGTGGAATCTTTAAAAAAACAAACAAACAGATTTAGAGACCAAAGGGATTGTTGTTAGAGGGGAGAGGTTAGTAGGGGGTTGCATTATTAAGGTAAAGGGGAATATAGTCAATTACATTGTGATAAGTTTGCATGGTGACAGATGATTACTAGAATTATTGCGATGATCACATTGTAAGGTATACAAATGTCAAATAATTATATTGTACACCTAAAACTAATATAAGTAATATAATATTGTATATCATCTATACTTAAAAAACTTTGTTAGAAATTAGTTGACTAATCTGGGTGATGGGTATTGTTAAAAAATAATTTTCAAGAAAAGGTGAGATCACGATTGTCACTTAAATATGAAATGAACACATGTCAAAGGTCTTGTTTAACTCACTAATTGAGGAAAGTGGGGGGAAACTGTTACTACCAGTAAAGATCAGATATACATGTAGGTCATTAATGTTGAAAGGAACATGCAAATGGACACAAAACTTATTTTCCACAGGGGAAGGTTACTGGATAGAATTCATTTGCCTATCCATAGACAAGTGTACAATTAGTTCTCTGCAACTTACAGTTAGTTAAGGGCAATGAAAGTTTATAGTCACAAAAGGAAGTGCTCTAGAATTTAGATTCTGCATAATACATAGTTTCCTTACATTGGAAGACATTCTATGCTATTTTTAATTTGAAGTTTCCTTGCGCAATGAGAGTTTATAATACTGCTCTCTGTACTTTTTTTCTTTCATATTAAATTTTTAAAATATTTTAAATATTTGTTTAAAATGTTTTTGATGGGGTCACTTTATGAGTTAAAGCCCCAGTTGTTACATATTACACTTAATTTGCTAATGTATTTTGGTGGCATGATATGACTTTTTTTTTTTTTTTTTAAGATTTTACTTATTTATTCTCAGAGAGAGGGGAAAGGAGAGAGTTTGCTTCTTGCACACGCCCATACCACGGACCCGGCTGCAACGCAGGTGTATGTCTTGACTGGGAATCGAACCAGCGACTTTTTGCTTTGTGGAATGCTGTCCAACACCCGTCAGGGCAAGATGTTTATTTTAAAGCTGATGTACTTGGAAGCGTTTTTTGCTTCAAATATCTGTTCTGAGGATGATAGCCACTGA